ACTCTGCGACAATTGGTCTGGGGTGTGGTCTGGGCTTTGGCACATTTTAGTGAGTCCCCAGGGTGATTTTACTGTGCAGCCAGGTGAGAGCGGACATAAGTAAATGCTGAGGTAAGTGCCCTTCCTCTGCCCCCAGCAGGTGTCTTATCATCTGGGGAGCCGCAGAGCACAGCTTGCCTTTCTCTGGCTTCCAGACTCTCCCGTGTGCTGTGGGTGCACGTGAGGCAGGAGATGGAGGCATTTCCCAGGTCATGGAAGGCCACGGTCGTGCCAAGCAGTCTGGGCTGGATCTTACTAAAACCTTTGTTGAAGGGTTTTCTGAGGGTTTGCAACTTGGTCATAGGAAATGATGTCTAGTAACATCAGGGACAGTATATTAAAAAACAGAGACATCGCTTTGCTGACAAAGGTCCGTCTAGTCAAAGCTATGGTTTTCCCAGTTGTCATGTATGGATGTGAGAGTTGGACCATAAAGAAGGCTAAGCACCAAAGGATTGATGTTTTTGAACTGTGGTGCTGAGAAGACTCTTGAGTCCCTTGGACTGCAAGGAGATCAAATGAATCAATCCTAAAGGAAATCAACCCTGAATATTCATTGGAAGGACTGATGCTGAAGCTGAAGCTCCAGAACATTGGGCGCCTGATGCAAAGAGCCGACTCATTGGAAAGGACCTTGATACTGGGAAAGATGGAGGGCAGGAGGAGAAGGGGGTGACAGAGGATGAGATGGTTGGATGGCATCACGGACTCAATGGATACGAATTTGAGCAAAGTCTGGGAGACCATGAAGGACAGAGGAGCCTGGCATGCTTCAGTTCATGAGATCGCAGAGTCCGGCACGACTTGGCAACTAAACAGCAGCAATAGCAGGGAGGATAAGTTGGCCTGTGGATGGCCGGAGGAGGCCAGAAGACCACCGAGATCCCAGTGAGAGATGACAGGAGCCGGAAACAGGCAGGGACGTGGACAGCAGGGAGCTGAGTCTTCACCTTCTCCCGTGGGAGCTGGCCCAAGACTCATGGAGCCCATCCTACCCACCGCCTCCTGGTTTACCGGGGCCTTTGTCTGCAGTCCTCAGTGTCTTCACTGAACGCTCTCTTAATCACAACAATGACCACATTTGTTATGGGTCATTTCTGCTCTGGGCCAGTCACATGGTTAAGAACGTCTGACTTTACCACTAGAACTGAGGCTTAGCAAGGTTAGGTGACCTGCTCAAGGTCACAAAGCTAGTAAGAGGTGGGGCTGGACCGATGCAGGGTTCAGACTCAACCCTTGAACTACCTTCTCCCGCTTCCCACCTGTGATGAGCAGGTGCCCCTCCCCCTGGATGAAGCATCTCTTCAGTCTCAGAACCAGCCATGTCCACAGACTTCATCTAATTTCCTCCCTGTCGTTCCTGGCCAGCCCAGCCTTGCAGTCTTTGGGCTGAGACCAACTTATGGTTACGTTGGCTTGATTAGCCTAACTCCTAATGTCGTTCTAATTGACATTATTTCAGTTCATACATCCTCACAACGGAAAATGCCCTCCACTCCTTCAAGTTTTCCACGTGCCCGAAGAACTGAAGCTCCATGATTTCTGCTTTTTGTCAGAAAAAAACTTAAAAAATTGTGTTGGTAATGAACTTAAACTTTATAAACCATCAGAAGTTCCTATGTAAGACTTTGAGAGGGAATTCTGGCACCCTTAGAAAAATCCAGAAGGCAGGGGGCTTGCATTTCAAGAACTATGCCAAAACTGCTGGAAATGCCAACTGGAGTTCTGGTCACAATAACAGTCACAATAATTAACTTCTTAAGGTTTTGTTGGTTACCCACAGTGACCCTTAATTTGCATTATGTATTTTGCGATTAACATTTACTGAGTACATAGCACATGGCCATACCAGGCTAAGGACTTCACATAGATTATCTCTCATTCTGACACCCACATCTTATAGATGAAAACCTGAGACCCAGCAAGGTGAAGTAACTTGCACACGTTTTCAAGCTGATGTATAATAGAAACCGTATTTGAAACTAGACCTAACTTGGGTCCTATGCTCCTAACTATTAACTACATTGTTAAGATCATTGATTACAAGCAATTGTAGGCTGATTTGTGTATTAAAGCGGCCACTTGTCATATTGCAGTTATTGGCAACACTCTCTATCAGCTTTGCTTTAAAACGTATGTATTGGAGTGTCTTTTCCTATAGATAGTATTCTGGTGTTTTCATTTCACTCTGTAATTTGTAAAATGCCATTACTGGTATGTTTCAAGTAGATCTGCAGTCAGTAACAGTTAATAAGCAAAGGAGGAATGATGAGGAAATCATTTCTTCTCAAGATCTTTGAACCCCAGCTATCTTTCTCCATGCTGTGGGGTTCTGTAGCAGCGTCAATCATCTGAGCAGCCCAGAACCAGAGTCCACTCAGCCTTCAGCTCCGGGTGGGGCACAGAGCCCAGGTTCCTGCTCTGAAACGGAAGGGGTCTTGCAGCATCAGCCTTCTGAGTTTCTCTGGGCAGCTGCTGGCGGTACACTAGTGACTCTGAAGAGTCCTCTGGCGCTCTGATCTTACAGCTTCACTGCTGGCTGATACGTTATTATGAAAATAAAAACCCTTCTCTATTTTGGGAAACCCAGTCTGTGGCATTTACTAACATCAACTTCTTGTTAAGCAGTGGATGCAGTAAGATGTTTCTGAGAAAGCAGAATCATCAGAATGCAGGCATTCACATCTTCTGAATAACAAGATCCCCCGGGCAACCCCCCCGAAAAAGCAAGCCAACCAAAAGGGCAACCGAAAACAACCAAACAAGAACAAACCCAACCAACCAACCCCCTCAACAAACCGCCCCGCCAAAACCAACCGCCGGCAAGAATGCCTTCCCCGCAAAACCGAAGGGAAACGCAAGTTTGGAAAAGAAAAACCCAAACCCAAGTTGAAAAAACCCCCTGGGGGGTCCCTGGGGAAAACCAAACCCGGTTGGTGAAAAGGAAAAGTTCCCCCAAACCAAGTTGGAAAAAGGGGTTGCTTATGTGCTAGGTGTTATTTAAATTGTGGCAATTCTGAGATTGTGGTACCCAACTGTGAGCTCCTCTGCCAGACAGAGACCCTGAGGGTAGGACCCTAGACAGTTTCACTAGGCACAGGGTATGTACTCAGTATGTGCCTGTTGAATGAATGAGCAAATTAATAACTGCTTAAAGGCCAGGATCCAAAGGGGGCTTTGAATTCAAATTTCTTAACTTTTACTTTATAAGAATTTTCTTGGGGTCCACGTATAATTATCTCCATATTCTATATATTTTATAGATTCTTCCAAGACCGAAGAGGATGGAGTGGTTATTGTTGATGGTTGCTAAGATTTGCCAGTAAGAGTTATGACTAGAGCGTAAGGCTTTTTTAATATAAAATAATATGTGAACCAAGGCAAGAAATCAGACAGGAGAGAAACAAATGCCAGAAGAATTTTCCTCCTCTGCTTAGGTAGGACTTAAGTAGGTTTTTTTCAGGTTTTACCATACAGGAGAGTCTTATAAAAACTCCAATATGTTATTCTATTGCATTCAGCTGAAGTAATATAACACCCCAGCAAGTTAAAAAAAAATTTAGTATCCAAGTAAAACAATCCTTTCACTATAAATATTCTGCTTCAGTTTAGATAAATAAATATTAAAATGGATCTTCTAGAATTAATGTAACTATCTGGATAATTTTTTTTTTAAATGTCACCCCCTGTGTTGGTCAGGACAGAGTGGCACATGGATCTGAGTGTCTTCCCGCCCTGTAACCAGGCTGAACACACGTTCACTTGCATCGTGTGGGACAGGAGCACGGTGGGTGGTGGCTGCCCTTCAGAAGTTTAAATACGGGAAGGTGGTAAAATGGATTTTCCACACGGTCTGTATCAGACCAGCATCGCCCCTGCTCCCTCGGCACTGGCAGAGCAAAGCCTGCTGTTTCCTTTCCCAGGATGGGTTAGCGTTAGGGCTTCCCAGTGACAGGTGGGGAAAAAATCCCTCCGTCAAGTGGCTGAGATGATTTGCTGCCGTTTCAGGGAGAGGGGAGGTCCCCTCAAGAGCCATCTCTGCGGGCAGGCAGTGGAAGTGGCTGGTAGCAGCTGCTGGACTCTAAGACGCCCTCGGGAGAACCGCAGGCTTTGGTCTCCCAGCAGCCAGAGTCGCAGCTTCTCTGGGATTCCTGCTCACCCAGATTTTCTGGGAGCAGACTTCTCCAGCCCTACTCAACTGCCATGTGCTTCTTCCAGTTAAATCTGTTCTACTCAAAATACTTCGTGTCTGTTTTTTTTTCTGAATGAATCCTGACTATTAGAACATTTTCATCTTACTGGACATTTTAGGGAAAAGTGAGATTTCCAGGTCTGTGATGTCCATTCTCACTTCTAGACCATCCTGAGCCCCAGGTGACCTCACTTCTGGGTGACCATGAGCCCCAGGTGACCTCACTTCCGGGTGACCCCGAGCCCTAGGTGACCTCACTTCTAGGTGATCCTGAGTCCCAGGGTTCTGGGAGGCCTGGAGGAGGGCTGTCCAGCTCCTGGGGGTAAACTGAAGTCCCACCTGGGTCTTAAAGCCCAAAGCACGGGGCCCACGGAGTTGGGGGAGGGCAGGAGGGGACCAGAGGGCTGGGTTGGCAGCAGGGAGCAGGGGTGGGGTGCACACGGGGAGCCCAGAAGTTCAGCAGAAATGACGGCCGGGAGGGACGGCCTCTGCAGAGTCTCTGGGTGGGCGCTGGCCGCTGGCCGCTAGGCTGCTGGGCTGGTTCTCGCAGACAGGCTTCCCTGGCCGTTAGGGGGCAGGGAGAACAAGGACACAGCCCCGGAAGCTGAGCAAATATCTTGTCCTCATGGGGCAACGGCATCGCACCCAGATTTCACTTGCTCAGATGACTGAACTAGAACCTGTCCTTTATATAAGTAAACACTACGCCTTAAGGACGTGTGGTGACAAATTATTTGCCCTGTTCTCTGACTCCATGACAGCAGACACCCACCCTTGGTCATGGCATTACACGGCAGAGAGGCGCTTCCTGGCCCCGTAAGGCGGGGCTTGGCCACGTGACTGGCTTTGGCCAATGGGATGTTACTAACCATGCGGTACAGAGATGCTTCACATGCGCTTGCGTGCGCAGGCGTCTTTCCCGCTCATCCGCCATCAGCACCGGAAGAACGCACCCTGGACAGACGGTAAGGCCTCTCCATCCCAGGCCCCAGAACAGAGATACCACAGACCCACAGGCACAGGCGGCATCATTAAAGCCGTGGTTTCCGTGGAGATTGTGGGGTTGTTTGTTATGCAGTGAACTCCTGTCAATGGCTACATGATACAGTTCCACATATCATGAAGAAAGAAAAAGTGAAAGTGTCAGTCGTTCAGTCGTGTCTGACTCTGTATGAACCCATGCCCTGTAGTCCACCAGGCTCCTCTGTCCATGGAATTCTCCAGGCCAGAATACTGGAGTAGGTTGTCATTCCCTTTTCCAGGGGATCTTCCCAACCCGGGGATTGAACCTGGGTCTCCTGCATTGCAGGCAGAGTCTTTACCATCTGAGCCACCAGGGAAGCCCCACCCATCTACCAGAGATGCTATTTGTGGAATAATTAAAGAATTTTCAAGGCAAGCTTTGACTTCATTTGATTTTCACCACCAATGTACTGACTTAGACTCAAATGCATGTGCAAGATGAGAGTCCATCTTACCTTCAGTCACAGTTTTAGTTCAGTCTCATCTCATCAGCAGAAATTTGTGGTATCTGATAATCTAGCTGGTATCTTTGCCCAGTGAACAACTGGCCTAGAATTTAAGTGAACAAAAAGTATGCATATACAGATCCATAAAAGTCTCTTTCTTCTGCTTATCAACATCTGAAATCTGGTACTTCTAGATAATTTTATAATTGTTTTCATCTCCCATTTTGCTCAGTGAAATTTACACAGTGGAGAAGTGTCATTAAGAATGAACAAACTGAAAAAAAAAAAAGACTTGAACGAACTGGGGAATATACATGATCATTCATTTGGCACCATCTTCTGAAATTTCACACTTCAGGGATAAGCAAAATTAGTATAATTCACTCCTTAAATTGCTTACTAACATTGTGAGTGAGCCAGTGCAAAAGGAAGGAAATGGTAGCTCTCAATGGGATGTGACAAGGCAAGGCTTCGAGGGTTTTAGCGAGCAGAGTGATGCTGACAGACGCCAAACCTACTGACCCCAGCACAAATGGCTCCTGGGAAGGGACCCGAGCTGTCTGACCCCTGAGTCTCCTTCACGTACAACTTCAGGCTTGCGTCCTTGAAGGGCTGTATTTCCATCACCAAATTTCTTCACTGGCTTTTCACTACCCAAGTTACATGTCAATCATAAGTTATCCTGGCAGTTGATTTTTTTCTTTTTAAGATAAAACTCTCTTCTTTCTATGGGTGGAGATTAGGGTAAATTATGGTTGCTATGGGCTTCCCAGGTGGTACTAGTGGTACAGAACCTACCTGTCAGTGCAGGAGATGTGAAAGACATGGGTTCAATTCCTGGGTTGGGAAGATCCCACTGGAGGAGGGCATGGCAATCCACTCCAGTATTCTTGCCTGAAGAGTCCTATGGACAGAAGGGCCTGGCGGGCTACAGTCCATGGGGTCCCAAAGAATCAGACTCAACTGAAGCAACTTAGCACACACGTGGTTGCCGTAGTTACAACCCCTTTCCCGAGTTTGGGTCCTGCCGTGTGGGTCCAAGAAGGACCTTCCTGTGTGAGCTGCGTACTCTGAACACGCAGTCTGGGGGTGCAGGTCGAGAAGTTTGCCCAGTTGGTTTCTTAGGGTCTGGGTTGGAAATAAACAAGAGCCACCTCAGAAGTGACTTCCTCAGGCACTCCCGAGTCACCTGGTCCCCCCGACCACGCCCCTGTGGCCCTGCTCCCCGTTTTCTCTCCGGGTCTTGGGTGGACAAAGTACAGTGAGGCTGACAGCACGGGCCAGTTGGGTCTGCGTCCCTGCCTCAGTCCTCTGGTCCTGGTTGAGTGAACCTGGGCAGGTTACTCAACTACTTTAAACCTTAATCATTTTATCTGTAATACAGAGATAATAAGAGCACCCACCCTACAAGACTGTTGTGAGAATTAAATCAGAAAATCCCATAAAGGGCTTCACATAGTGCTTGGCATTCAGTATGTTCTTTGTTAATGTTAGCCGCTCTAGCAGAAATGACATGCCCAAAGCAGCACCATTTACAAGGGTCAAGACAAGAAAGCAACCGAGGCACCCAGCAACAGATGGATAACTAAAGAAGATGTGGGGTATATTTACGTATATAAAAGATATGGTGTACGTTTGTCCCCTGGAGAATGAAATGGCACCCCACCCCAGTGTTCTTGCCTGGAGAATCCCACGGACAGAGGAGCCTGGCGGGCTACAGTCCACATGGTCATAAAGAGACCGACTTACAACTAAACAACAACACAACAGCAATGCATGTGTATATATGTTTATATGTGTGTGTGTGTATGTGTCTGTGTGTATATGTGTGTGTATGTGTATGTATACGTATGTGTGTATATGTGTACGTGTGTGCATATGTACGTGTGTGTATATATGTATGTGTATATATGTACGTGTGTGTACGTGTGTACATATGTACGTGCACACACACGTATGTGTATGTGCATGTGTGCGCATGCACATGTGTGTTCACGTGTGTGTATGTACATGTGTATATGTACGTGTGTGTATGTATATGTGTATATATGTACATGTGTATATGTGTGCGTGTGTGCGCGCATGTATGTGTATGTACGCGTGTATATGTATGTGTGTGCACGTGTGTATGCACATGTGTGTGTACGTGTGTATACATATATGTATATACAATGAACATTTCTCATTCATAAAAGAGAATGAAGTATTACCTTTTGCCGCAACATGGATGGACCTAGAGATTCTCATACTAAGTGAAGTGAGACAGAAAGACAAATACTGCATACCACTTATATGTGGAATCTAAAAAAATAATGAATCTAAAAGCAAATGTGTCTAATTACAGAGCAGAAACAGACTCACAGACCTACAAAACAAATTTATGGCTATCAAAGGGGAAAGGTGGGGGAGAGAGATAAATTAGGAGTCAGAGATTAACAGATACACACTACCATATCTAAAATAGATAAGCAACAAGGATTTACTGTATAACACAGGGAAATATATTCAAAATCCTGTAAAAATCTATAATGTAAACTAACCTGAAAAAATAATATATCTATAACTGAATCATTTGCTGCATGATTATATAGTAATGTATGTACTACATCTGAAACTAACACAATATTGTAAACCAACTCTACTTCATTTTAAAAAAGAAAGAACACCGTTAAGAAGGGAAGATGCCATGAATTTGGACCCCTCGCAGGTGGGGGACCTTCGGCACAGCGACGGTAAGGCAGACGGTCCCTCCTCTACCACCTGACCCTTGCATCAGGCCCCAGAGGCTCCAGAGAAGATGGCCGGCTATTTGAGGATGTGCAGTCCGGCATCCTGACCCCTCTCCAGGCTCCAGTGGGCCCTCCGCCCTCATTAGGACCAGCGGGGCACGGTCCCGGAGGCCCGGTCTCTCTCAGCACCTCTGCGGTGGGTGGGGCGGGTGCCAGCCCAGTTCACGTGGCTCCAGCGGGAGCTGATTCCCAGAGGAGCAGGGCGTGAGGTGGGCCGGTGTCCCCAGCTGCTGGGGGCTGAGTCTGATGTCTTCTTGCAGATCTGTTGCGGCTGCTGTCCGCTGTGGTCTGACGCACACATCTGTCGCTGGGCACACGCTGTGTGGGGCTGCCCCGTGACAGGCAGGCCGTGTCCCTGGCGAGGCACGTGGCGACGTGTGCTCTGGGGAGCACCATGCGCATGTGTACGAGCCGCCTCTGGCTGCTCTGCTGCGTTCGGTGCCTGCCCCACCCCAGGGCCCTGCCCCTCATCTCCGGCTTGGAAGGATGCGTCTGCCCCAAAAAGCCCTGAAAGAACAGGAGGTCCTGTGATGAGCTGCCAACCCTCGTCCAGCTGGGTTTGGAGCCCCCCCATCACACTAGCCCTGTTCAATGTGAGAAGATGGGCTTCTACCTTCCCTGAGCTTTATCTTCAGCTTTTCAAACTGAACTCTTAAGTGATGCCCACTTGCCCCTTAATTCAGAGTGACTTGGCTGGATGTCATAAAGGATGCTTGGGGACAGGGGGAAGGACTCAAACACCAGAAACACTCACTGGACCTTATTTCATCTACTAGCATCTGAGAGGTGAGGAGACAAAAGAGGCAGACACCATTTTCCCAGCTGTGGATCTTATTACTCAGGCGACTGCTTGTTGGACTGCCTGAACACCCTGTCCTGCCCTCACAGGGCCTTGGAGATGAAAAAGACTGCTAGCGGCAACGTGGAAGGACCTAGAGACGATCATACTAAGTGAAGTAAGTCAGAGAAAGACAAATACCATGTGATATCACTTATGCGTGGAATCTCAAATAGGCCACAGATGAACTTATCTACGAAACAGGCTCACCATCTCGATGGACTTGAGCTTGAGCAAGCTGCGGGAGCGGGTGAAGGACCGGGAAGCCTGGCGTGCTGCAGTCCATGGGGTCACCAAGAGTCGGTGATGGAGCGACTGAACTGAACTGACCAAAGAGAAACAGACTCCCAGAGAAGAGACTTGTGGTTTCTGAGCGGGAAGGGGGCAGGGGAGGTGAGGAGTGGGAGTTTGGGATTAGCAGATGCAGACTGATATGTGTATATGGGTAAACAAGGACCTACTGCAAGCACAGGAACTATATTCAATGTCCGATATAAACCATAATGGGAAAGCATATGAAAAAGAACATATATGCATGTATAACTGATTTATAATTTCATGTGTGCTAAGTTGCTTCAGTCATGTCCAACTCTTTGTGACGCTATGGACTGGGGCCTGCCAGGCTCCTCCGTCCATGGGATTCTCCAGGCAAGAATACTGGAGTGGGTCACCATGCCCTCCTCCAGGGGATCTTCCCGACCCAGGGATTGAACCTGCGTCTCTTGTGTCTCCTGCAGTGCAGGCAGAGTCATTTAGCCGCCTGGGAAGCCCGTTAACTGGTTGTATATTAATATATGTGGGTCTGTTTCTGAACTCCGTTTTTCTATACTTACACCAGGTGGTGAGAGACGGTAGCATGTAGGCAGGAAGTGGGTCCTAAAGGGTCTTGGAAGCCATAGTTAGGAAGCCGTCGCGATCCGAAAGAGATCTGGAAGTAGTGCAGGTGTTTCAGAGCTGGTGGGAAGGGGGACCCAAGATGAGACATGGATGGAAGGAGGCAACGTGGAGGCGGCTTACTAATCCAAGCAAAGAGGACAGTGACCTGGCCCGGGATCGCTGGGGGCAAGAGCCCTGGAAAGACCTGAGATGCAGCTGAGAGCCACCTCTCCTGGGATGCGGAGTGAGGGGCGGAATGGGGGATAGGAGAGGGTTGAGAAGACGATGACGCCCAGGTCCCATCGTGCGTGCGTGCTTAGTCGCTTCAGTTGTGTCCGACTCTGTGACCCTGTGGCCCGCCAGGCTCCTCTGTCCGTGGGATTCTCCAGGCAAGAAGACTGGAATGGGTTGCCAGTGCCTTCTCCAACTGTACCTGATCTTCAACTGATGACTGATGATGGCAAGTGGGACTTCAGCAGCCTGCGCACAAGAAGACCCACTGCTAAGCTGAGACCCTCTGAATGTTGTCTAGCTCTCCTGGCCCTTTAAAATGCTTACTCTTCTCACGCTGAGTGAAATGCTTACACCCTGGAGAAGCAAACGAATTATAAGGACCAATTAAAAGGCAAAAAGCCGGGATGGAATCAATGAGTCAGTGCTAGAATAATGCTAAATAATAAAATCCTTCCGGAACATGGTTTCTTAACATCTATTTGTTCTCCTGGATCTGTGTATTGGCAGGGCAGCTCCCCAGGCTGGGCTCTGGGTGGGGGTGAGGGGGGGCGCATATTGCATCAGCCATGGACCCAGCTGGGTCTGGCGGGGAGTGGGGTGGGGTGACGGTGCCCTGCTCTGTACATGCTCGCCCCAGGCTGCAGAGGCTATAGTTGCCTGGAGAAATTGCATCTCACAGAGGGCTGAACCGAGACCGTGCCTGGACACACGTGCTTTCCAGCATTTGGTCACATCCTGTCTCTTAGCATAGAAGCCCCTAAAGCAAATACTAAGGAGATCAAACCAGTCAGTCCTAAAGGAAGTCAACCCTGAAGATTCATTGGAAGGACTGATGTTGAAGCTGAAGCTCCAGTACTTTGGCCACATGATGTGAAGAGCTGACTCACTGGCAAAGACCCTGATGCTGGGAAAGACTGAGGGCAGGAGGAGAAGGGGACGACAGAGGATGGGATGGTTGGATGGCATCACCGACTCAATGGACGTGAGTTTGAGCAAACTCCGAGAGAGAGTGAAGGCCAGGGAAGCCTGGCGTGCTGCAGTCCACGGGGTCGAAAGAGTCGGACACGACTGAGCCGCTGAACAACGCCACACCTGAAACCAAAGCTCAGGGAGGCATGCTCAGCCCGCCAGGGTGACTGTGGGCGGGAAGAGACAGTTCTGGAGGGGAATCTGATCCACCATCAGGAGACAATACAAGTGTTTTCTCCCCTGTTTAATTCTTCAGGGCAAATCATTATAGCTTGTGAAACTTCTTATGGGGATAAACATACTACCTCAGGCAAGATTGCTGTGAGATAAAGCAAAATCCAAACTCAGCAGAGTCTGGGAGGGAATTCCAACCCCACTGAATATTCCCATCATGTCATACAAGTGAGAGGCTGCAAGGTTTGCCCTAAAAGGGCTTGCTCTTCCTTTCTAGATGTTGGGTCCAAAATTTCAGTAGCTGCTATCTGTAAGCAGTGGTGCCTGATTCGTGAGGACACGGGCCAACTCCCTCAGCCTGCAGATCACAGGCAGATCTGGCAGAAAACACATCACTCAGCCATTCATGAACTTCCACCAGATATAACTTCTGATTCAAATAACAGCATAAATATTTAACCTCTTGCTGCATGGAAGTGATTTCATATTCGGCTTCAACTGTTATCACTCATTATTTAATGATCAGAACTCTGGTTTTAACTTCCAGATTTGAAGTGAGTAACCTTCTGACACACACACATTAGCTTTAGAACTGTGCTCCAACCTGGAGGCTCTAGAGAAGTTTTCTCGTAAAATCCCTCCCGACTTGCCTCTTCCTTCTGTCTTCTGTGCCAATAACACAGTTCCCTCTTCTGCAGCCCTGATGAGAGGTTTTTATAAGGGAGCGCAAAGGGTCAGTCTCAGAGAGCCTCTCGGAACAATGTTTTAAAGAGGCTTTAGGAGTGTTGCTGACCTTTTAAAGCAGGTGAGATTTCAGATAAAAATCCAGTTTACTGGCTTTTCTTTTATTTTTTTAAATATTTATTTATTTTAATTGGAGGCTAATTACTTTACAATATTGTAGTGGTTTTTGCCATACATTGACATGAATCAGCCATGGGTTTACATGTGTTCCCCATCCTGAACCCCCCTCCCACCTCCCTCCCCATCCCATCCTTCTGGGTCATCCTGTCCATAGCAGACAAATGGATGAGGAAGCTGTGGTACATATACACAATGGACTATTACTCAGCCATTAAAATGAACACATTTGAATCAGTTCTAATGAGGTGGATGAAACTGGAGCCCATTATACAGAGTGAAGTAAGCCAGAAAGAAAAACGATAGTACAGTTTACTGGCTTTTCCTTTGGCGGCTGCAGCGGCCTTTGCAGGTTGACCGGGGCCGAACAGTGCTGCCCCCTACAGGTTGAGCTTCACCCTCCTGTTGCCCCTCCCCC